TTGTTGCGCAAAAGGATTACCCTTCTTGTTCTCGGGGTTACTCGCTTCGTTCAGAGGGATTACGCGTTGGTCAGTTTCTTCGGTTTCGAGTAGGGTTTTGGGTAGGGTAAATATTAATGCTTCCTGTTTTCGAATCGCGGCGATGGTAGAGTTGGGGCGATAAGGAGATTGGATACGGGGTTGTTTTATTTTTGGGAAATGATATCGATTGGAATTGGATATATTTGGATATTTAGATATTTTTACAAGGAAAATTTAACGTTAAATATATATTTGCTTTTTATAGTAATTGGTCTTTAAAAAATGGAATTGATTTCTTCTCTCTTCGAATCGCGATATCGAGGAAATTTTAAGTAATGGTAATCATGGGGAATGGAAAAGGAATCTTATCGTATCGTCGTAACCAGTCGAATTTTACGATAATTCATTGCGAGTAAAAAAAATTTTTACAATGAATAATTGAAAGATCTTAATATACATCGATTTTTACAATGCATAATTGAAAGATCTTAATATACATCGATTTTTACAATGCATAATTGAAAAATCTTAGTGCACATTGTCGCGAATTAAACGATGCTTCATTGCAAGTAAAAAAAATTTTTACAATGCATAATTGAAAGATCTTAATATACATCGGTTTTTACAATGCATAATTAAAAAATCTTAGTGCACATTGTCGCGAATCAAATGAATTTTACGATGCTTCATTGCGAGTAATAAAAAAAATTTTTACAATGCATAATTGAAAGATCTTAATATACATCGGTTTTTACAATGCATAATTAAAAAATCTTAGTGCACATTGTCGCGAATCAAATGAATTTTACGATGCTTCATTGCGAGTAATAAAAAAAATTTTTACAATGCATAATTGAAAGATCTTAATATACATTGTCTCGAATCGAATTTTATGATGTTCTATTGCGAGTAAAAAAAAATCTTACAATGCATAATTGAAAGATCTTACTGCACATTATCGGGAATCGAAGGAATTTCACGATGTTCCATTGCGAATAAAAAAAAATCTTACAATGCATTGATTGAAAGATCTTAATACACATTGTCGCGAATCGATTTTTACAATGCATAATTAAAAAATCTTAGTGCACATTATCGCGAATCAAACGAATTTTACGATGTTCCATTGCGAAAAAAAAATCTTACAATGCATAATTGAAAGATCTTAATACACATTGTCTCGAATCGAATTTTACGATGTTCCA